TTTTTGATTATGGGCCCAGTTTTCAAGTTGGTCCAAATTGGGGTCCAAAATTAAACTTTGTTTGATTTCAACAAAAATTGAATATATGAGGTTCTTTGATATGCTGAATCTAACCATGTATTTAGATTTTTTATTTGTGGGCCCCGCTATCAAATTGGTTCATTTTGAGGTCAAAAGGGTCTAAAATTAAACTTTGTTTGATTTCATCAAAAATTGAATTATTGGGGTTCTTTGATATGCCAAATCTAACCGTGTTTTTAGATTTTTAATTTGGGTCCCATTTTTTAAAATTGGTCTTCATTGAGGTCCAAAGGGTCCAAAATTAAACTTAGTTTGATTTTAACAAAAATTGAATTCTTAGGGTTCTTTGAGATGCTAAATCTAAACATGTGTTTAGATTTTTGATTATGGGCCCAGTTTTCAAGTTGGTCCATGTTGGGGTCCAAAATTTAACTTTGTTTGATTTCAACAAACATTGAAAATATGGGGTTCTTTGATATGCTGAATCTAACCATGTATTTTGATTTTAGACATTGGACCATAATAGGTAAATTAAAAAAATTCAAGTTCTTAGACCACATTCTTTCTGTGTCAGAAACCTATGCTGTGTCAAATATTTAATAACAATCCAAATTCAGAGCTGTATCAAGCTTGAATGTTGTGTCCATACTTGCCCCAACTGTTCAGGGTTCGACCTCTGCGGTCATATCAAGCTGCGCCCCAGCGAAGCATTTTATTAATGGACTTGTGTTGGTCTTTTTTTATGTTGACTCTAAAAGGAATAAGGGGAAGTTGAATGGCTGAAAACCAGCCATCGGCTCAACTGGATTATACAGAATAAGTAGTTTTTGGCATATTAATATATTGACGCATAGACGGATAGACACATTGACCAGTTGACCTATTAAAAAATCGACATATTAATCAATTGACATATTAAAACATTGACAGATCATCATCTCAAAATTGAGGTATCAAAAGAGTATCAAATTCAAACATTGACACATAGACATATGGAAACATTGACCAGTTGATAAATTAACAAATTGACATATTAATATGTTGACAGTTCTAAAGCTTTTTACACATCAACACCTTGAGAGATCTACACATTAACATATTGACACATTGACAGATCAACACTTAAACAGACTCATATACTGACACATTGACATATCCACACATAGACAGATCAACACAATAACAGACTCAGTTATACATCGACATATTGCTATATTGACACACTGACAGATCAACACTTTTACAGATTCATACATCAGCACATTGACATGTCAACAAACTGACAGATCAACACAAAACAGACTCATCCCTTGACACATTGGCATATTGATACACAGACAAATCAAGACATAAACAGATTCATACATCAACACATTGCTATATCGACACACTGACAGATTAGAAAAAATAACAGACTCATATATCGACTCATTGACATATTGAAACACTGACAGATCAACACATTAACGGACTCATACATCAACATTTGACATATCGACACATTAATAGATGCATTCATCAACACATTGACATAATGACACACTGACATTTCAACAAATTAACAGACTCATACATCGACACATAGACATATTGACAAACTGAAAGAACAACACATTAACAGGCTAATGCGTCAACATTGGACATATTGACACACTGACAGATTTAACACATGAACAGCCTCGTACATTAACACATTGACATTTTGACACACTGACAAATCAACACAGTAACAAACTCAAACATTAACAAGTTGACATATTGACACAATGACAAATCAACAAATTAACAGACTCATACATCAGCACATAGACATATTGACACACTGACAGATTTAACACATTAACAGATTCATATATCAACACATTGACATATAGATAAATTTACAGATCAACATATTAGCAGACTCCTACATCAACACATTGACATATTGACACACTTACAGATTAACATATCACCAGACTTAAACATCAACACAATGACATATTGAAACACTGACAGATCAACACTTTAACACACATACATCATCACGATTATAGATCAACACATTTACAGACACATTGACATATTGACACACTGACAGATCAACATATTACCAGACTCAAACTTCAACAAATTGACATATCGACACACTGACAGATCAACACTTTAACACACTTATATCATCACGCTGATAGATCAACACATTGAGAGGCTCATACATCAACACATTGACATATTGACACACTAACATATCAACATAAAACCAGATTCAAACATCAACAATTGACATATCAATACACTGACAGATGAACACATTAACAGACTCGTACATCAACACATTGACATATTGAAACATTGACAGATCAACACTTTAGCACACATACATCATCACGCTAATAGATCAACACATTGACAGACTCGTACATTAACACATTGACATTTTGACACACTGACAAATCAACACAGTAACAAACTCAAACATCAACACATTGGATATTGACACACTGACATATCAACATATTACCAGACTCAAACATCAACACATTGACATACCAAGACATTGACAGACTCATACATCAAGACATTGACAGATCAACACATTATCAGACTCATAAAACAACACATTGACTGATATACACATTAACAGACTGAAACATTCACACATCGACATATAGACACACTGACAGATAAACACATTAACATACTCAAACATCAACACATTGACATATCAACACACTGACAGATGAACACATTAACAGAATCATACATCAACACATTGACATATCGACACACTGACAGATCAACACAAAACAGACTCATCCATTTACACATTGCCATATTGATACACTGACAAATCAAAACATAAACAGATTCATACATAAACACATTGCCATATCGACACACTGACAGATTAGAAAAAGTAACAGACTCATACATCGAGTCATTGACATATTGAAACACAGACAGATGAACACATTAACGGAATCATACATCAACATTTGACATATCGACACATTGACAGATCAAAACATTAATAGATGCATTCATCAACACATTGACATATTGACACACTGACTTTTCAACACATTAACAGACTCATACATCGACACATAGACATATTGACACATTGACAGATCAACATTTTAACAGGCTAATACATCAGCACATATACATATTGACACACAGAAAGATTTAACACATTGACATATCAATACACTGCCAGATCAACACATTAACAAACTCAAATATCAACAAGTTGACATATTGTCACTCTGACAAATCAACAAATTAACAGACTCATACATCAGCATATAGACATATTGACACACTGACAGATTTAACACATTAACAGATTCATATATCAACACATTGACATATTGACACACTGACAGATCCACATATTACCAGACTCTATCTTCAACACATTGACATATCGACGCACTGACAGATGAACACATTGACAGACTTATACATCAACACATTGACATATAGACACACTGACAGATGAACACATTGACAGACTCATACATCAACTCATTGCCATATAGACACACTGACAGATGAACACATTAACAGATTCATACATCGACAATTTGACATATTGACACATTAACAGATCAACATATTACCAGACTCAAACATCAACACATTGACATATCAACACATTAACAGACTCGTACATCAATACGTTGACATATTGACACACTCACAGATCAACACACTGACAGATCAACACATTAACAGATCTACACATTAACACACTCAAACATCAACACATTGACATATTACAACACTGACAGATCAACACTTTAACACACATACATCATCACACTGATAGATCAACACATTAACAGACTAATACATCAACACATTGACATATAGACACACTGACAGATGAACACATTAACAGACTCATACATCGACACACTGACAGATCAACACATTAACAGATTCATATATCAACACATTGACATATCAACACACTGACAGATGAACACATTTACAGACTCATACATCGACACATTGACAGATCAACATATTACTAGATTCAAACATCAACACATTGACATATTGACATATTGACACACTGACACACTGACAGATTAACATCTTACCAGACTCAAACGTCAACACATTGACATATCAACACACTGACAGATGAACACATTAACAGACTCATAAATCAACACATTGACAGATCTGCACATTAACAGACCTAAACATCAACACATTGACGTATCGACACACTGACATATCAACACATTAACAAACTAAAACAATCACTCATTGACAGATCGACACATTAACAGACTCAAACATCAACACATTGACGTATCAACACACTGAGAGATTAAAACCTTAAGATACTCATACATCACCACGTAGATATATCGACACACTGACAGATCAACACATTAACAGAATCAAACATTTACACATTGACATATCGACACACTGACAGATCAGCACATCAACACACTGACAGATCAACATATTATTAGACTCATAGATCAACACATTGACATATCAACACACTGACAGATGAACACATTTACAGATTCAAACATCAACGCATTGTCATATTGACACACTGACAGATCTACACATTAATAGAGTCATACATTAACACATTGACATATCAACACTCTGACAGATCCAAACATTAGAATACTCATTTATTGTTTTAATGACAGAGAGAGCACTGGCAGGAAACTTCTTATTAGGGTATTAAGACCACTGTGACTTTATGGAAAATATGTCACAAGGCATTGCTGTATATTGCACATCTCCTGTAATCTATCCTTTTCTAATAGTATTATTTAAGATAAATCTGTTGAAACAAAACATTTTTCAAGATGAAGAAAATGTATCCTTGACTGCTTCCAGTGTCACAGACAAAAAGTATAGAAATTATCTTCGAGTGTGTGTATGCATATATATTTTTTTTTTCACAAATATGATAAAATTTAAACTTTCAAACTAAAAATTTTTTTTTTCAGATTCCATCGAAAAAGGGCAACAGTCTGCCATGTTAAATCGTTTACTAGGGAAGGGCAGCTATGAATCATTTGATATGAGATGTATGGTGACCGGCCAATTTTCAGTTGGAAAATCGACTCTTGTGAAGCTGTTAGCTGGAGATGTCATACCAGAAGGGCGACATCCGACTGATGGAATTTCTCTGGTTGAAGGTCGCTGTGGCCTTGATATTGAGACAAAAAGTTGGATTCTTATTGATCCAGGTGAGAAAAAGCACAAGTGTGACATCTGACCATATTTAAAAAAACACTTGTATGGACCGCTGTGTTTTATCAGCAGACATTTAATAGCATTGATTTAAATAGTATCACGTTGAAGCCATACATTTTGTTACTCATTTTCAGGCACCAATTTAATTCAATATTGAATCTTAGTTGTGAATGAAAATCTTAACATTATTATTTTACTTATTGAAAGGATATTAAGGTTTTAATGTTTTGAAATTTGTATGCAGTTAAATACCATGGATTTTCCATAATCAATGATTTCATCAATCAATCAGTTAAAATGCCTCTCTTTGAAAAATATTAATAGCATCATGTGAATGTTACTCCTGATATGATTTTTCCCTTTAATTCTGATTTTTCCTAAATTCTTTCTCTTAGCTCTGACAGCCTGTTTTGGATTTGATTTGCCTGATGTATTAAATATAATTTCAGAAGCTTATAATGCCCTAGATGTTGTGTATAATAAAGTGTTAATGACCTCTCTGGAAGAGGAGGAAAGTGAAATAGCCGAAAAGTTAGATCAGGCTGTAGAAACAAGCCCAACTGGTTATGCAAAAGCCACACTTTCCTCTTTGCCCTCAGAACAGTCTGCAGCAGCACAATCTCTGCCACCTCAGAAATCCTCCAACGTGTCTCTCACGGTAATACAGTTGAAAGAGAAAATGAAAACCAAAATGACCAAAGAAGAAATAAGAAGGAAAATGGAAAAAGTCCTCAAAAGTGGGAAGTATAAGATGAAAGTTGGACGTCTTATCTTCTGGGATTTTGGTGGACAATATGTTTATTTAACAACACACCAGACCTTCATGACGTTCCGAGCGTTATTTCTTGTTGTCTTTGATGGGAGCAAAGATTTGCATGAACAGGTCCCTGATGTGTTATGTTTTCCAGGGCATCACATGACACCAACTGCAGCAGGTAATACAAATACATGTTATTTACAGATATAGTCTATATCTGTAACAGCAAGGCAATTACTTAAAATTTTAGAAACTTGTCCTTTCAAAATATCTAAGCAAGCCTAAACATTTACGTAATTTATTTCCTTGTCACTTTAAGTTTGTCCCCAACCACCATATTAACATTAATATGTCTCGCATCTAGCAGCATTGGAGTTAGGTAAGACAATAATATTGCATTCAAAATTCATCAAAGATACCAGGCTTAAAATTTTGAACAAAAGACAACTGCGTTGTGCTTTCCTGTAAATTTCTTTAGATTTTGAAAGTGTGTTTAATTCTCTGAAAAAATAAGCTGATGATTTCTAACTTCTAACTATCAAAAGCATACACAGTGTACATTTTTATGCCCCTTCCGTAGCGGAGGGGGCATTCAGTTCTACCCTTGTCCGTCTGTACGTCCGTCTGTCCGTCCGTCCGTCTGTCCATTCGTCTGTCCGTCTGTACGTCCCAACATTGGTTTCCATTCTCTAACTTCAGTTTGCCTCAACCAAATGTTATGAAACTTATACACAATTCTAATAACCACAAAAAACAGATCAAGTTGGAAATTGGGTGGCGTCACTTTAATCGTTCTAGAGTTATGCCCTTTACAAATGGAAAAATTACTGAATTTTTCGTTTATGTTCTCTAACTTTAGTTTGCCTCAACCAAATGTTATGATCTTATACAGAATGCTTATTACCATATAATACAGATCAAATTGGAAATTGGGTGGCGTCACTTTTACCGCTCTTGAGTTATGCCCCTTTATAAAATTAAAAATTGCTGAATTTTTCTATCCGTTCTCTAACTCTAGTTTGCCTCAATTAAAATGTTATGAAACTTATTCACAATGCTTATTACCACAAATTACAGATCAAATTTGAATTTTGATGGTGTCACTTTTACAGTTCTTCAGTTATGTACCTTTATAACTGTATATGATATGCAAGCGGGGGCATCACTTGTGTCCCATGGACACATTCCCCATTTATTTTTTATACGACCGCAAACAAATTTTTGTGGTCGTATATTGGTATGACGTTGGCGTCGTCGTCGCTGTCGTCGTCGTCGTCGTCGTTGTCTGGCATCGTCCGGCGTCGTCCGAAGACACATTGGTTTTCGCACTCTAACTTTAGTTTAAGTGAGAGGATCTCTATGAAATTTTACCACAAGGTTCAATACCACAAAAGGAAGGTTGGGATTGATTTTGGGGGTTATGGTACCAACAGTAAAGGAATTAGGGGCCAAAAATAAGCATTTTTGTAACTTCCAGACATAACTTGTGTGTTAGTGTATGGATCTCTCTGACATTGTACCACAAGGTTCCATATCACAAAAGGAATGCTGGGATTGATTTTGGGGGTAATCGCCTCAAAATTTTAGAAATAAGGGGCCAAAAAAGGGGAAAAAAACAAGCATTTTTCTAGTTTCATGACAATAACTTGTGTGTAAGTCTATGGATCTTTCTGAAATTGTACTACAAGGTTCCATATCACAAAGGGAAAGCTGGAATTGAGTTTGGGGGTAATTGCCGAAACGTTTAGGAATTGGGGGCCAAAGAGGGGCCAAAAAACACATTTTTCTAGTTTCCAGACAATAACTTGTGTTCAAGTGTATGGATCTCTCTGAAATTGTACTGCAAGGTACCATACCACAAAGGGAAGGCTGGGATTGATGATGGGGGTAATTGCCTCAATATTTTAGGAATTAGGGGCCAAAAAGGGGCAAAAAACAAGCATTTTTCTAGTTTCAGGACAATAACTTGTGTGTAAGTGTATGGATCTTTCTGAAATTGTACTACAAGGTTCCATATCACAAAGGGAAAGCTGGGTTTGAGTTTGGGGGTAATTGCCCTAAACGTTTAGGAATTTGGGGCCAAAAAGGGGCCAAAAAACACATTTTTCTAGTTTCCAGACAATAACTTGTGTTCAAGTGTATGGATCTCTCTGAAATTGTACTGCAAGGTACCATACCACAAAGGGAAGGTGAGGATTAAGTTTGGGGGTGATGAATCTAAGGGGGTTCAAAAAATTTGGGGGGGGGGATTTTTTTTTTTTTCCTTTTTTTTTTCTTTTAAAATTTTCCATTTTAAGTTGGTTATTTCTGATTTATATTTAAAAGCAAATAATAATGATATGGTAGGAGATACACACCAAACAGGATGTGTAAATTATTATATAATAAGTATTGTGCAATAGCAAGAAATTTTCAATTGCACAGTATTGCACAATAGCAAGAAATCTTCAATTGCACAGTATTGCGCAATAGCAAGAAATCTTCAATTGCACAGTATTGCGCAATAACAAGAAATATCCAATAGCACAATATTGCGCAATAGCAAGAAATTGTCAATTGTACAGTATTGCGCAATAGCAAGAAATATTTAATTGCACAGTATTGTGCAAAAGAAGATACTTCTATTAAATTGCTTATTTCTTGACCAATTTCAATGGGGTTTTATTCTTGAATTCTTGGGGTTCTTTAATATGCTGAATCTAACCGTGTATTTAGTTTTTGGATTTTGGGCCCCGTTTTTCAATTGGTCCACATTGAGGTCCAAAGGGTCCAAAATTAAACTTTGTTTGATTTCATCAAAAATTGAATTATTTGGGTTCTTTGATATGCCAAATCTAACCGTGTATTTAGATTCTTAATTTTTGGTTCCGTTTTCAAATTGGTTTACATTAAGGTCCAAAGGGTGCAAAATAAAACTTAGTTTGATTTTAACAAAAATTGAATTCTTAGGGTTCTTTGATATGCTGAATCTAAACATGTATTTAGATTTTTGATTATGGGCCCAGTTTTCAAGTTGGTCCAAATCGGGGTCCAAAATTAAACTTTGTTTGAATTCAACAAAAATTGAATATATGGGGTTCTTTGATATGCTGAATCTAACCATGTATTTAGATTTTTGATTTTTGGGCCCCGTTATCAACTTTGTCCACATTGAGGTCAAAAGGGTCCAAAATTAAACTTTGTTTGATTTCATCAAAAATTGAATTCTTGGGGTTCTTTGATATGCTGAATCTAACCATGTATTTAGATTTTGGATATTAGACCATAATAGGTGAATGTCCAATTTGAAATTTTTAAGTTCTTAGACCACATTCATTCTGTGTCAGAAACCTATGCTGTGTCAAATATTTAATCACAATCCAAATGCAAAGCTGTATCAAGCTTGAATGTTGTGTCCATACTTGCCCCAATTGTTCAGGGTTCGACCTCTGCGGTCGTATCAAGCTGCGCCCTGCGGAGCATTTTATTTCAAATGTTGTACAAATACTCAAAAATTATCACAGAACTATCATGACTAGAGTTGATAAAAGAATCCCCATTTCAATGTTCATCATTTTCACTTTTGTCATTTCAGTGATGGGATTTTATTCATAAAACATTTAACATTTTGAATAAGTATACCATAACCTTGACCCCTGTTAATATACTGACAAGAACTCAAAAGAGAAATCAGCACATTCCTATCCCTATTGAGTTCTCAAGGCAATGAAAGATACAGGATCAGTTTGTCAAGAATATGACAACACGCTCGTGGGGCATTTATCTGCGCTGCCACCATGGAGTTAATTAACAGTTACTTATTTAATTTGCAGCATTGCAGTATTATCATTTGAGGTCAAGTTGTCAAAAGTTCCTGTCAATATAGTTGGTCAATTTCGTAGCAAATCTTTGAATGTGTAAGACTCGTCCAATTAATGCTAAGGTGACAATGGCTCCAACCCGTTCCTTTGGTGCAGATATTTAGATGGAATGGCAGACCAGTTTACAAATACCACACACTAAGTCAAGTATTCTTAGATTGATTTCCACAACTGTCAGGATTCTTGTTTATGATCCGCATATATGTCAGTTTTATTTTAAAAGACAATTTTATCTACTAGTTATTGACCATCATTCAATGTACTTTTATGCATTTAGTCACCATCAACTGTGGTGTGAAATATTAGTTTGTATACATTTTAATTGTATGCAGGTCTCTATGCATTATTAACCTATTTTCTATGTGCCTTCCTTTGATATCAACCCCACTGTAATGAAATAGACTGATGAAAAATTACAACAATGTAGTTTATACATATAGACAGAAATATTTGTCCTTTTTAGTTTAGACAGACTCCTACATCAAGGAAAACTGTTATCAGCTGTTTAAATGAATGAGCTTGACAAGTATTCAGCAACATTTTTTAGTCCCCTACCAACGAAGTCGAAGGGGACTTAAGGTTTTCATTCCGTCTGTCTGTCTGTCTGTCCATCGGTCAGTCCAGCAAATCAGTTTTCCACACCTTTTTTCTTCATGCTTGAAGATATTTTTTGATATTTGATATATTGTTTTATCATTACAAGTTACAGATCAGAATCGAATTTTGTTTCCGTCTGATAATTTTGTGCAGAGTTATGGTCCTTTGACTTAGAAAATTCACTTAAATAAACAGTTTTCCACACTTTTTTTCTGCATGCATGAAGATATTGACTATATATTTGTTATATACTTTACACCATGACAAGTTATAGATCGAATTAGCATTTTGTTCCAGTCCAAATAATGTTTAAGCGGTGGGGGATTATGTATTGCAATGCAATAATCTCAGAATGCTTGTTTAATAAGGTGTTATTAAAAGAGACAATGGAAAACTTATAGTGTATCAAAACTATAAGAAATGCAGAATGATTATAAACTTCTTTTATGACATATTTTGATTTTTTTTCAGTATTCTTGCAATATTGGGTCAATTCCATCCTGACCTATTGCAAGGTTGTATATGCAGGCATTCCTAAGATCTTGTTTGTTGCCACTCACAAGGACAAAGTACCAAAGGTGAGTGATCTAATGTTAGCTATATAATAGTGAGTTATTGCCATTTGAAACACTTGAAAAATGTGTAAAAACTGCCTCATAAGAGCTTTTATACTTACATAATGATGTCATGGCCATATGTCTTAACTTGACCAAACTTTGTGTGAAACCACACTTTTGAAAGAACAAGATCCCTATTGATTTTAGGTAAAACACTAAAGATCAGATTACGGGGCCTATAAATCAGTCAGAGCTCTGACATAAACAAGTCAGAGCTCTGACATAAACAAGTCAGAATAAAATGACTTCTTCAAGTCAGAAAGTGTTTTGAAATTCTGACCTGCACGCGTCAATTTTTGTTTTGCGTAGTTTTCACTCGAGTCCGTCAAACCAGAAGTTATTTTGAATTTGCCGCCGATCTACGACACATACGATCACGTGGTTTTTTGCAAGAGATCACGTGTTTGAGAGTCGTTGTTTTGGAAGTGTCTCGAACGAGAAGTCATTGAATATTATATTGATTATTTACGATTTTTAGTGAAAATCTAGGTCATTGTGGGCATTTTTAGAAAGGTAATTCATATTACCTCCGTATTTTCATGGGCATTTTTATATTTTTTGCCTATAAAGAAGTTCCTTGCAAGTGATTTTTTTGCTGTTTCATGAAGGCGCGCGACCTGTAAATACGGACGCGTGGTCTTTTAGATGACCTGGTGTTTGACAATTCTGACTTGTTCAGGTCAGAAAATGTTGTTATGATAATGAATTGTTATTTTCGGGAGATAACTCGTGTTGTCTTAAACAATATTAACATTATTAACCAGTCAGTGCAATTTAAAAAGTAAAATTATTGCTTCGAGCTGAACATCGTCACGTGATTTTTCTATTTTTAAACTCAATCACGAACTGATTCTGTATCTGTATGAATACGTTGTCGATACCAATACTGGCTTTAATACAACGGTTTGAGAGAGCGCCGCCGATTTATTGACGGGGCGTGAGAGCAGATTTAAAGCTCTCTACGCTTGATGCGCGCACTACAGTGTCGTCTAGCTGATTCCACGCGATCACTGTCTTTACAAAGAATGAGTTTGTATATTGTGGTGTTTTGCTTGGTGGAATGTCAAAACACTTAGAGTGATTTTTTACTTGTTTTTCCACAATATTTGTTGCGTGGTATTCTTCGAATTTCTTGGCAGTTATGGTTCTCTTCGGACGTGCTTTTTTGAGGAATTCGTCTGGTTCAATAGCGGGAACCAGTCCCTCAACCACTTTGTACATAAATATTAACTTCTGGCTTGTTCGTCTTGTCTGGAGATCTTGTAGTTCCAGTTGGGCAAGCATTTTGGAGACACATCCGTCCTCTCTTGACTTGTAGTCTCTGGTGATAAATCTTGCCGCTTGGCGTTGTATCCTTTCAAGCTTATTTATGTTAGTTACTGTGTAGGGGTCCCATACTATGGCTCCATATTCCATCGTTGATCTGACGAGCGAGATGTAAGCTGTTTTAACCTTTAACCTTTCTGATTCGTTTCTCCCTATGAGAAAAACGATCATTGTGAATATTGATATGATGATAATGAAAGGAAAATGGGAAAAATTTTAATAAAAGAAAAAGGAAGGGAGGGGTTTAACTAAAGAACCCAAGGGTTTTTTTTTTTATTTTTAAAGTTATAACTTGAGAGCAATAAGTGATGCACACACCTGGTCTTCATTTATGATCATGGGACATGATAAAACAAATCAAATGAAATGTAGGGCAAGTCTCCAGGGATCACCCCTATCCCTGTCATTTCTCTATTCCTCTTTATAATGTCAAATTGATTTGAATGAAATATACCGGGCTAGTCTCCAGGTTTACCCCCGGCCCCACCCCCTGCCATTTGCAAATGTTCTTATATTTTGTAAACGGTAGAGATCCCCACCCCTAAACCATATATATTCTTGTATGGGACAATTTAACAAATCAAATGATATGTTGGGGAGGTCCCTGGGGGTCACCCCTACCCCTCCTGTTTGAAAACTTGTAAACGGTCGAGATCCCCACCCCTAAACTATATATTTTCTTGAATAGGACAATAAAACAAATCAAATGAAGTATAGGGGAAGTCCCTTGGGGTCACCCCCACCCCCTCCTGTGTGAAAACTTGTAAACGGTTGGGATCCCCACCCCTTAACCGTATATATTCTTGTAAGGGTCAATAAGACAAATCAAATGAATTAAAGGTGTAGTCCCTGAGGGTCACCCCACCCCCTCATGTTTGAAAACTTGTAAACGGTCGAGATCCCCACCCCTACACCATATACATTCTTGCATAGGACAATAAAACAAATCAAATGAAATATAGGGGAAGTCCATTGGGGTCATCCCCATCCCCCTTTTTGAAATGTTCTGGATCACCACCCCTAAAGGTAAACCATATGATATTCCTGTTCGTCATTTCAAGAAGATTTGAATGACATGCAGGGTCAAACCCTAGGCGTCACTTATGCATATCACTTTACTAGACAAAACCAATTTGTACTGGAACTTGCCCAATGTCAGGCAACCATGGGAATGACGAATTATGGGAGCTTAAATTTGTTTGGGAGACTTCGTAACAGCATCCTGTTACAATTATTTCTTGTTTATTTTAATCTGCTGAGAGACCACCTTTACATATTATATTTATCAGTGTTTGTGCAAACAGAATTGTCTATTCAGTATTATTTTCCTCTCACATGCATCACATCTTATTAATTACATGGATATAGGAAGATGTGGTATGAGTGCCAATGAGACAACTCTCCATCCAAGTTACAATTTATAAAAGTAAACCATTATAGGTCAAGGTACTGATCTTCAACACGGAGCATTGGCTCACACCGAACAGCAAGCTATAAAGGGCCTCAAAAAATTACTAGTGTAAAACCATTCAAACGGAAAAACCAACGGTCTAATCTATATGAAAAAATAAAAATTTTTGGCATATTTGTTTTCCTGTGAAATTACACATCTATAATTCTTACCCCAGATGCTTAGCCACATGAAGCATTTACCTCTTATTTGAGACATAGATAGTCTTTGTTTCTACAGAAGTGAGAAGAACATTGGAAGTCAGAATGTTCTGACTTATAAAAGTCTGAATGTTCTGACTTATAAAAGTCTGAATGTTCTGACTTAATAAGGTCAGAAAGACTCAGAATGATCTGAAAATACTGACTTTTTTTAATGTTTAGAGTATTTTAGAATATGAATGCACTTGTCATGCTAGTACCATAAGAAACCCTGACAAGATTTTGTTCCCAAACAACAATTTTTAAAGATATTAAGAATAACAATGTACAATGGAACATAAATTACAAAGTTATAAGTGTTGTGAAAAAAGCTATTTAAAAAAAATCAATAGATAGTTATCTTTCAACTTTTACATGTATTTAAAAAACAGTGAAAATATTATGGATTATATGTACGGCTTCTTGAAGGACAACAAAGTTACCATATTTGGTCTGAATTTGTATGTTTTTTCTCCTCAAATTTTTTTAACATTATTAATGACGGCTTTTTTCTTAACTAATTTTAAACATTCTTAATTATAATTAAATTTCCCCAACATTTTGCTTACAAACTCTTTAATTTCTAAAGTCAAATTGAAAGCTGTCTTCACAGATTCAATGTGTCTGAAAATGTCATATTGAAAAAACAATACTTTTATATCCTCAAATAAAATGGGTATACCATGAGTTTAATGGTCATGCAGATATGCAATCCAGGATGTTAACAATCAGAGTTTAGATTACAGTCATATAGTAATAGGCAGAGTTTTTCTTATATAATCATTAACGTAAAGATAATTGATTAATAGAGGTTTAGTTTAATATAAGTAATAAACAAAGCTAATTAATACACTTGCAATAACATACATGAAGTTAAATTAGTAAATACAGAATATTCATAAAAAATTCAGACAGAAATACTGTAATAGGTCAAGTCATTAGGGACGACATCAAAAGTTCAATATAGGATAAAAAAACTTAATTCACATCACATAGTTTTTTCACTGATCCACCCATCCCCCCTCTTAACTTAATTTGGGAAAGATTGATTGACCAATATGGATTTATGTAAAATCGATTTTGGATAAACAAAACTTGCAGCAACTTTAACCCCACCCCCACCCCCAAACTATTTGATTTAAGTTTTTTTATCATACATTGGTCTTTTGATGGCGTCCCTTAGAATGTGCTGACTTTGTACATGTTGTAGTGATAGTTATGGCACCCATACAACATATAGGAATCAGTCAAAAGGAGAGAAAAATTCCCGAAATTTGTCACATAGTGACATTTGTGAGTCGGAATAACAAAATATAGACTCATTAATCTCTCCATCTTTTCAAAAATTATGAACCAGATTTTATGCATATCCATTTAGTTTTTGATGGACTCTTTTAAGTCAGAACATGATTTGACCTGTTTGAGTCAATTTGCAGAACAAAATTTCCAATCAAAGCTATGTGTTCTTCCTCTTAGCCCCCTTCTGAATCTGCCACTGTTGAGTTTATTAATTGATTTTTCCATACATTATCATTAATATCAAATGGCAATGCCTGACTTAATAATTTCAATAAATTTAGTTTTTGACTGATTTTTTAAAGTCAGAAGATGACTTGACCTGTTTAAGTCAATTTGCAGAACAAAATTTCCAATCAAAGCTAGGTGTACTTCCTTTAAGCCCTGCAATGCCCGGCTTAAATATTTCAATAAATTTATTTTAGTTTTGGACTGACTCTTTTAAGTCAGAACATGATTTGACCTGTTTAAAACAAAATACATTTAATATTGAATATACCAAATAAACTTTTTTATTGTCCTCATTATTGTGACTTATGGGGACTTTATTCTCTTTGTCTTTTATCTGGCTCACCCATACATTTTTAAATCAATATAACAATACTATACTTAAAAGTTGTAATAAGTTTAGTTTTGTTTGACTCTTTGAAGTCAGAACATGATTTGACCTGTTAAAGTCAGTTTACAGAACAAAATTTCCAATCAAAGCTAGGTGTACTTCCTTTAAGCCCTGCTTCTGAATCTGCCATTTTCGAGTTTATTATTTGATAAGTTTTTAGAAACAATTAAGTCAAATGGTTATTTATTTTAGGGGATCTTACATATATTTCCTGTGTCTTTTATCTGACGTTCCCATACATTCATTAAATAACATATGGCAATGCCCAGCTTATATATTTCAATAAATTTATTTTAGTTTTGGACTGACTCTTTTAAGTCAGAACATGATTTGACCTGTTTAAAACAAAATACATTTAATATTGAATATACCAAGTAAACTTTTTTATAGTCCTCATTATTGTGACTTATGACTACCTTATTTCGTCTGTCTTTTATCTGGCTCACCTATATATTTTTAAATCAATATGACAATACTAGACTTAAAAGTTGTAATAAGTTAAGTTTTGTTTGACTCTTTGAAGTCAGAACATGATTTGACCTGTTAAAGTCAGTTTACAGAACAAAATTTCCAATCAAAGCTAGGTGTAATTCCTTTAAGCCCTGCTTCTGAATCTGCCATTTTCGAGTTTATTATTTGATAAGTTTTTAGAAACAATTAAGTCAAATGGTTATTTATTTTAGGGGATCTTACATATATTTCCTGTGTCTTTTATCTGACGTTCCCATACATTCATTAAATAACATATGGCAATGCCCAGCTTATATATTTCAATAAATTTATTTTAGTTTTGGACTGACTCTTTTAAGTCAGAACATGATTTGACCTGTTTAAAACAAAATACATTTAATATTGAATATACCAAGTAAACCTTTTTATAGTCCTCATTATTGTGACTTATGGCTACCTTATTTCCTCTGTCTTTTATCTGGCTCACCTATATATTTTTAAATCAATATGACAATACTAGACTTAAAAGTTGTAATAAGTTAAGTTTTGTTTGACTCTTTGAAGTCAGAACATGATTTGACCTGTTAGAGTCAGTTTACAGAACAATATTTCCAATCAAAACTGGTCTTTTCCTCTAAGCCCCCCCTAATCTGAATCTGCAACTGTTGAGTTAATTAATTGATAAGTTTGTTTAGAAACAATTCTGTCAAATGGTTTTAAAATAATATTTTTTATAACCAAAAGTTCCATATGTTAACTTAACAGAAAAAAAAGTCATAAAAATGCAGAAATAGAATAAAATTTTAAGATAATTTGATGAAATTTGTAAACAATAGACATTTGAATATTAAATATACCAAATAAACTTTTTTATAGTCCTCATTATTGTGACTTTATTATTGGGTGTCTTTTATCTGATTTTCCCATACATTCTTAAATGCATATGACAATTCCAGACTTAAAAGTTGCAATAATTAGTAAAAGTATAGTTTTTGACGTGACTCTTTGAAGTCAGAACATAATGTGACTTGTTCAAGTCAGTTTGCACAACAGGATTTACCTCAATGAAATATTAAGATATCAAATATATACCAAATTAACTTTTATATAGTTCTAAAAATTGTGACTTAATATTTGTGATCTTTTTTCCTACTTGTATCCATACATTCTAACAATCACATCACAATCATGACAATGCCCGACTGTTACAGTTGCAATCCATTTAGTGTTTGACAGACTCTTATAAGTCAGAACATGATTTGACCTGCTTGAGTCAGTTTACAGAACACAATTTCCAATGAAAGCTATGTGTTCTTCCTCTTAGTCCCCTTCTGAATCTGCCACTGTTGAGTTTATTAATTGATAAGTTTTAAGAAACAATTAAGTCAAATGGTTATTTATCTTAGAGGATCTTGCATGTATTTCGTGTGTATTTTATCTGACTTTTCCATACATATCATTAATATCATATGGCAATGCCTGACTTAAAAATTTCAATAAATTTAGTTTTTGACTGATATTTTTAAGTCTGAACATGATTTGACCTGTTTAAGTCAATTTGTCAGAACATAATTTGACCTGTTCAAGTCAGTTTGCAGAACAAAATTTCCAATTAAAGCTAGGTGTACTTCCTTTAAGCCCTAGCTGCTTCTGAATCTGCCATTTTTGAGTTTATTATTTGATAAATTTTTAGAAACAATTAAGTCAAATGGTTATTTATTTTAGGGGATCATACATATATTTCCTATGTCTTTTATCTGACGTTCTCATACATTCATTAATATCATATGGAAGTGTCCAACTTTAAAATTTCAATAAACTTAGTTTTGGACTGACTGTTTTAAGTCAGAACATGATTTGACCTGTTTAAAACAAAATACATTTAATATTGAATATACCAAATAAACTTTTTTATATAATCCTCATTATTGTGACTTTAGGGGACCTTATTTCCTCTGTCTTTTATCTGGCTTTCCCATACATTTTTAAATCAATATGACAATACTAGACTTAAAAGTTGTATTAATAAGTTTAGTTTTGACTGACTCTTTGAAAGCAGAACATGATTTGACCTGTTAAAGTCAGTTTACAGAACAAAATTTCCAATCAAAGCTAGGTGTTCTTCCTTTAAGCCCCCCCCCCCCTAAATATGAATCTGCTACTGTTGAGTTAATTGATTGATAAGTTTTTTTAGAAACAATTCAGCCAAATGGATATTAGAATTTTATTTTTTTTGGCAACCACAAGTTCTATGTGTAAACTTAACAGAAAAGAAAAGTCATGAAAATACAGAAATAAAATAAAATTTTAAGATAATTTGATGAAAATCTTTAAAAACAAAATGCATTTGATATTGAATATACCAAATAAACTTTTTTATAGTCCTCATTATTGTAACGTAAGGGGACCTTATTTCATCTGGCTTTTATCTGGCTTTCCCATACATTTTAAAATCAATATGAAAATCCTAGACTTAAAAGTTGAAATAAGTTTAGTTTTGTTTGACTCTTTGAAGTCAGAACATGATTTGACCTGTTAAAGTCCGTTTACAGAACAAAATTTCCAATCAAAACTAGGTCTTCTTCCTCTAAGCCCCTCCCCCCCCTTTTTTTCCCTTTATCTGAATCTGCTACTGTTTAGTTAATTAATCATGTTAATTGATAAGTTTTTTTAGAAACAATTCAGTCAAATGGTCTTTAAAATAATATTTTTTACATCCAAAAGTTCCATGTGTTAACTTAACAGAAAAGAAAAAGTAATGAAAATACAGAAATAGAATAAAATTTTAAGATAATTTGATGAAACTTGTAAACAAAATACATTTGAATATTACATATACCAAACAAACTTTTTTATAGTCCTCATTATTGTGACTTTATTATTGGGTGTCTTTTATCTGTTTTTCCCATACATTCTTAAATGCATATGACAATGCCAGACTTAGAAGTTGCAATAATTAGTTAAAGTATAGTTTTTGACTGACTCTTTGAAGTCAGAACATAATTTGACCTGTTTAAAACAAAATACATTTAAATATTGAATATACCAAATAAACTTTTTTATATAATCCTCATTATTGTGACTTTAGGGGACCTTATTTCCTTTGTTTTTTATCTGGCTCTCCCATACATTTTTAAATCAATATGACAATACTAGACTTAAAAGTTGTAATAAGTTTAGTTTTGACTGACTCTTTGAGGTCAGAACATGATTTGACCTGTTAAAGTCAGTTTACAGAACAAAATTTCCAATCAAAGCTAGGTGTACTTCCTTTAATCCAAGAAAGTCCTTGCTTTCAGACTGCTTCTGAATCTGCCATTTTCGAGTTTATTATTTGATAAATTTTTAGAAACAATTAAGTCAAATGGTTATTTATTTTAGGGGACCTTATTTCCTCTGTCTTTTATCTGGCTTTCCCATACATTTTTAAATCAATATGACAATACTAGACTTAAAAGTTGTATTAATAAGTTTAGTTTTGACTGACTCTTTGAAAGCAGAACATGATTTGACCTGTTAAAGTCAGTTTACAGAACAAAATTTCCAATCAAAGCTAGGTGTTCTTCCTTTAAGCCCCCCCCCCTAAATATGAATCTGCTACTGTTGAGTTAATTGATTGATAAGTTTTTTTAGAAACAATTCAGCCAAATGGATATTAGAATTTTATTTTTTTTGGCAACCACAAGTTCTATGTGTAAACTTAACAGAAAAGAAAAGTCATGAAAATACAGAAATAAAATAAAATTTTAAGATAATTTGATGAAAATCTTTAAAAACAAAATGCATTTGATATTGAATATACCAAATAAACTTTTTTATAGTCCTCATTATTGTAACGTAAGGGGACCTTATTTCATCTGGCTTTTATCTGGCTTTCCCATACATTTTAAAATCAATATGAAAATCCTAGACTTAAAAGTTGAAATAAGTTTAGTTTTGTTTGACTCTTTGAAGTCAGAACATGATTTGACCTGTTAAAGTCCGTTTACAGAACAAAATTTCCAATCAAAACTAGGTCTTCTTCCTCTAAGCCCCTCCCCCCCCTTTTTTTCCCTTTATCTGAATCTGCTACTGTTTAGTTAATTAATCATGTTAATTGATAAGTTTTTTTAGAAACAATTCAGTCAAATGGTCTTTAAAATAATATTTTTTACATCCAAAAGTTCCATGTGTTAACTTAACAGAAAAGAAAAAGTAATGAAAATACAGAAATAGAATAAAATTTTAAGATAATTTGATGAAACTTGTAAACAAAATACATTTGAATATTACATATACCAAACAAACTTTTTTATAGTCCTCATTATTGTGACTTTATTATTGGGTGTCTTTTATCTGTTTTTCCCATACATTCTTAAATGCATATGACAATGCCAGACTTAGAAGTTGCAATAATTAGTTAAAGTATAGTTTTTGACTGACTCTTTGAAGTCAGAACATAATTTGACCTGTTTAAAACAAAATACATTTAAATATTGAATATACCAAATAAACTTTTTTATATAATCCTCATTATTGTGACTTTAGGGGACCTTATTTCCTTTGTTTTTTATCTGGCTCTCCCATACATTTTTAAATCAATATGACAATACTAGACTTAAAAGTTGTAATAAGTTTAGTTTTGACTGACTCTTTGAGGTCAGAACATGATTTGACCTGTTAAAGTCAGTTTACAGAACAAAATTTCCAATCAAAGCTAGGTGTACTTCCTTTAATCCAAGAAAGTCCTTGCTTTCAGACTGCTTCTGAATCTGCCATTTTCGAGTTTATTATTTGATAAATTTTTAGAAACAATTAAGTCAAATGGTTATTTATTTTAGGGGATCTTAACATATATTTCCTGTGTCTTTTATCTGACGTTCCCATACATTCATTTAATATCATATGGCAATGCCCGGCTTAAATATTTCAATAACTTTATTTTAGTTTTGGACTGACTCTTTTAAGTCAGAACATGATTTGACCTGTTTAAAACAAAATACATTTAATATTGAATATACCAAATAAACTTTTTTATAGTCCTCATTATTGTGACTTATGGGGACCTAATTTCCTCAGTCTTTTATCTGGCTTACCTATACATTTTTAAATCAATATGACAATACTAGACTTAAAAGTTGTAATACGTTTAGTAAGTCAGAACATAATGTGACTTGTTTGAGTCAGTTTGCACAACAGTATTTACCTCAATGAAATATTAAAATAATAAATGTTTTGCTCTAAATACATTTAGCTTAAAGTGGACGAGAATATATCTTTTATTAACATAGTCTTATCATGAATAAGTGTCTTGTTTTTCCTTGGAAGATTTGAAGTATTGTCATGTAATGTATCCAATATTGTATTTTGTAAATCTTTTGATATTCAGAAAATTGTATGTATGATCCATTTTTTCTCACCTGGTTTTTCTTTGTATTTTGAAATAATTGAAAGTGATGAGATAAATATATTATGTTTAGATTCTGGAAAGGAGAAGGTATGATGTCAGATGAGCCCCACTTTTTAAAACTCTTTGATTCGAAACTAGTAATCACCATATTTTTATGGAGATTGATAACAAAGTGGTAGTAATGAATGCTTCAAATCAGAACAAAAATGACCTCTCGAAGTCAAAATGCATTAAAAAGGGGCATAAATCTTATTAGAATTTGAAGATATTAAGTCACAATATTTTGTGCAAAATCTGACCTGTGGAAGTCATTTTATGATAAATTAAAGTCTGACATAAACTGACCTGTACAAGTCATATTCTGTTGAGTGCAAGAAGGGAGACAACACTTACATCAAATTATATCTGACCTATGGAAGTCATTTTATTCTGACTTGTTTATGTCAGAGCTCTGACTGTAAATAGAGTAGAAGATAATTATGAAGAACCACTAATAGATAAGTAAAAGATGTTTGGTATGCAATTGTATCAATATTCAATTTGATACATCTCATTTCCATGGAGATTATTTGCCCTGCCACTCTCAGTCATGGTCTATTGACTTAAAACAATTGCTCAGTTTAAATGTTAAAGTTTGTATTTAAGTCAGTTTTATTTCAACAAATATGTTGTCAATAAGAAACTCTGGCATTTAGTAGTACTGCACCAGATGCACTTCTCAACAATAAATGTCTCTTCAGTGATGTTAGAGGCCAAAATATTTGAAAGTCCAAAGCGTAATACAAATGTTGATGAGTTAAAAATACAAAAAAAAAGGATATATAGCCAAATCTGGACAAGGAATGTGTGACGACGATACATGCAATATTTTTAAAAATAAGTTCAATTTTTTATAACTGCAAATTTAAATTAAACAATATCCCTATTTTATGCAAATACCGAACTACTGGCTACTAGGCTATTAATACCCTCTTGGCCTGTTTTAGATTTATTGCCAACTTATTAAATGTAACTTATTTTTTATGCCCCTGACATAGCGTCTACGTATGTACGTACCTCCCGAATTTGGTTTCCGTTCTCTAACTTAAGTTTGCCTCAACCAAATGTTATGAATCTTACACACAATGCTCATTACTACAAAACACAGAACAGGATTGAATTTGGGTGGCGTCACTTTTAACTTTCAAGAGTTATGCCCTTTTACAAAGAAAAAAAATAGCTGAATTTTGTCTTTCCGTTCTGTCACATAAGTTTGCCTTAACCAAATGTTATGAAACTTATACACACTGCTGAATACCACAAAACACAGATCAAGTTTGAATTTTGGTGTCATCACTTTCATCGTTCTAGAGTTATGCCCCTTCACAAATGGAAAAATTGCTGATTTTTTTCGTTTCTGTTCTCTTACATGTCTAATTTTAGTTTGCCACAACCAAATGTTATGAAACTTATGCAAAATGCTTATTACCACACAACTCAGATCAAGTATTAATTTCGGTAGCGTCACTTTTATCATTTAGAGCTATGACCCTTTATAATGTTATATGCAAGCGGGGGCATCATCTGTGTTCCATGGACATATTCCTCATTATTTAATTAATGTTTCTATACTAGGTTCTAGGTAAAAGTGTGAATTACCAAAAAAGATATCAATAGCAAGTTCTTCTTTGAAAAAAAATATTCTAAAGACGCTTTTTTTCACTTTATTCCCCTTTTAATGTAAAATTTAACAACTGTAAAAAGTTTTGTTTTTGACTGTTATCTAAAAGTGTAGAATTTACCTGTAAAACTAGATGTATCTACTCTGAAAATTTGAGATAAATGCAATTATATTCTAGTTGGAATTTTCCATCATTGAAGATGCATATTGATCATGGTGTGTGATACAGGCTCTTTACAGCCTCAAGTTTATTTATCTTGCATCTTTTTTTATGTTTAACAGGAGAATGTTGAGACACGACGTGAAGAGCTTTACAGTGGAATTGAGGAGTTGTTTAAAGACCATGAGGGACAACATCATCTGGTCCTTAGGCCTCTAATATTTGTCAATGCCAAAGATCAAGCTGACCCAGAAATAGAAGTTCTGAAGAAAACAATTACAGATCTTACATTCGACCACCCATGTTGGGGCGAAAGGATGCCGAATGCTTGTGTTCCACTAGAGCTTGAGATCGCTGAACTAGTGGCAGAAGGAAAACAAATTATGTCTTTGGCTGAAGTTAAAGAATTAAATGCCAACAGCGAGGTGTCTGTCCTGTCCCCTGAGCAGTTGACTGATTTTCTACATTTTCAGCATTCTCTTGGGAAGATTGTTTATTTTGATACCCCACAGCTGAGAGATAATGTAATGATCAGCCCCCTTCTTATGGTGGAAGTTATGAGATCTTTTATCACTGGTGTGTATAAATATATATTTTAATTGTGTAGTGAATATATATTGCAGGTAAAATATTAGCATATAAAAAAAGTGTTTACCTACCTTTTTATTAGATCACGACAGACTGTTTGACCTTGCCCTATACTAATATTTGTGTTGGTATGTGAGAACGTTTATGTAATATAACTAGTAAAAATTGATATTTTATTTTTCATTCACGGTGTCAATAAATGTGAAGTGCTGGCAATTTTGAACCGGATTTGCGGCGGAAAATATCGGTTATTTATTTGGTGATGTGCGGCGGCAGTTGGGCAGCTGCGTAGGCGGTCGGAATGATGCAAACACTCTCTGTGCAATAACTTGAAAACACTTTGACGAAATCTTTAAAAAAATAGATATGTTGTTACCTGTGACTAACATGACTAAAGGAGGTCAAGTTTGAATTTTTTTTCATCGACCATGCATATATTACAAGACAACGACTGTTTGAAATTAGGTTTCTGGAAAGTTATTGGATTGACCACCAGATTCTATGGTTTAATATTAAATAAGGTGTAAAACTCATAAACGTATTTCTTTAATTATTGACTTCATGATATCTGCCTATCCACCACACCTGCTGAACAATTGTTGGCCTTTCTATTTCTGAACTCGGCCTTCTTTTACTTTAGGGGCCCCAACAATACTATTAAAAAATGGAGGACCCCACAATATATAGTGTATTTAAAATGCATTGCGCTGTTGTTTTAATTATACTGTTGATTTGATTGGCTTGACAAGTATTTTGGCTTGTATATAGGTTGTGAGACCCCTAAAGTAAAAGAAGGCATTATTGCACTCTTTTTACTTCAGGGGTCCCATTAAAATTACCTATATATAGGTTGTGGGACCCCTAAATTATAAGAAGGCATTATTGCACTCTTTTACTTTAGGGGTTCCATTTAAATAACCTCTAAATAATTGAAACTTGGCTTTTTTCAACCCATTACTTCTTACAACAGGTAAATATTTAATATCATTACAAAAACATACTTTTATGGACCAAGACCTCTAAAGTAAAATCCAAAAATGTTGGGACCCCTAAAGTAAAAGAAGGCCCTGAACCCTACACAAATTTATGTTTTTATTGGATTCTGTTAGGGTGTCCACATTTCAAATGATGTTTTTACATGTTTGAAAAAACGGTTTTGCTGTCACTCTGACAGTCTTTTGTCTATGTTGTGAAAATTTGGAGAAGATGGCGGTTTTGATTATTTTTTTCAATTTTAACTGAAACTGATATTTAATTGATATATACGGTATAGATATAACTATAGAACTTCATGGTTTCTAAATAAAAAAATGCTAAGAAACTTTGAGAATGGAAGTAGTTCTATCTTGTTTTAAGTTGAATACTAACACAATTATGTTTTGAGACAATGTTTAGTTGTTATATATTTTTACTGAAACTCTTACAACTGTTAATGTAAAACAATGGAAACTCTTACAACTGTAAAAAAATAGAAATTCTTACAAATGTTAACTAGAGGCTCCAAGGAGCCTGTGTCGCTCACCTGATATTTTTGTTTACAATTAATGCATGAAATAATGCAATCATTATACGTTTGCTTTAGTTTCAGAGATATAAGCCAAAAACTGCATTTTACCCCTATGTTCTATTTTTAGCCATGTCGGCCATGTTGGTTGGCAGGCAGGGTCATCGGACACATTTTTTAAACTAGATACCCTAATGATGATTGTGGCCAAGTTTTGGGTAAATTTGTCTCAGTAGTTTCAGAGGAGAAGATTTTTGTTAAAAAATGATTTTAAGGGCAATAACTCCTTAAGGGGTCAATTGACAATTTTGGTCATTTAACTTATTTGTAGATCTTACTTTGCTGAACATTATTACTGTTTACAGTTTATTTTCTATCTATTATAATATTCAAGATAATAACCAAAAATGCAAAAATTGCCTTAAAATTACCAATTCAGGGGCAACAACCCAACAACACATTGTCTGATTCGTCTGATAGATCTTAACCTGATGAACATTTTTACCCCGTGTCAGATTTGCTCTAAATGCTTTAGTTTCAGAGATATAAGCCAAAAACTTCATTTTACCCCTATGTTTTATTTTTAGCCATGTCGGCCATGTTGGTTGGCAGGCAGGGTCATCGGACACATTTTTTAAACTAGATACCCTAATGATGATTGTGGACAAGTTTGATTAAATTTGTCTCAGTACTTTCAGAGGAGAAGATTTTTGTAAAAAATAACCAAAATTTACGAAGAATTGTTAAACAATTGACCATAAAGGGCAATAACTCCTTAAGGGGTCAGCTGACAATTTTTGTTATGTAGATCTTACTTTGCTGAACATTATTGCTGTTACAGTTTACCTCTATCTATAATAATATTCAAGATAATAACCAAAAACAGCAAAGTTTCCTTAAAATTACCAATTCAGGGGCAGCAACCCAACAACGGGTTGTCTGATTCGTCTGAAAATTTCAGGGCAGATAGATCTAAACCTGATGAAAATGTTTACACCATGTCAGATTTACTTTAAATGCTTTAGTTTCAGGGATAGAAGCCAAAAAACTGTATTTTACCCCTATGTTTTCTTTTTAGCCATGGCGACCATGTTGGTTGGCAGGCAGGGTCATCGGACACATTTTTTAAATTACATACCCTATTGATGATTGTGGCCAAGTTTGGTTAAATTTGGCCCAGTATTTTCAGAGGAGAAGATTTTTGTAAAAGTTAACGGACGACGACTGACCACGACGACAGACGCCAAGTGACGAGAAAAGCTCATTTGGCCCATTGGGCAAGGTGAGCTAAAGATGAAGTATGTTGGTCTGCTATCTAAAATACAACTCTACCGAAACAAACAGGGCCTTTTATAGAAAGTGAATGTTTATCAAACATGTTTAGTGTGACATTCATTTTCGCTGAACTAGCATACATTATTGTTTATGGACCAGCTGATGCCAGCCTCTGAGATTTTCTCGCTGTGTTGGTGGCTTTTGGCAATAAATATGCAAAACATTGAAAATGGAAATATGGAATGTGTCAGTGGCAACAACCTGACCAAAATTCAGATAACAGCCAAAGGTTGGTAAAAATGCAGTGATCATGCAAATCAATGCATTTTGACAACAAATATAACACAATTGCAGAATAGTATAGTTGTCCAAATTGATGTCTAGTGTAGCAAATTTTTCATTGGTTCCCATTTTTAAAATATTTGTCAAAATATACAACAAGCTTAATATAAAGACTTTAATAAAACTTGTATTTTGTTGGAATATATCCTGGATTAATGAATAGTCTGAAAGTCTATGAACATTATTATCCATGAACATGAAATATCTTCTATTCATTTTTAGTTCTTGCATTACGTTGTAAATGCGTAACATGTCACTTTCTAGTTGTGTTGGGAAACAAATTTCATCCTGAAATCTGAACCTCAGCAATGGAGCATGAATTCCTGGTAAAACTAAATAAACCAAGAGCTCCAAATTGTGAACTTGAAATCATCCGTCCGTAAATGTTACGGACGCCATCACGAGTTGGTTGACCATTATGGAATATCTGTTTCACAGATGATAGTGGAGATGTTCCTAGTGTCGTAACTACAACACCGTCCCCTTTTCACGAATTTGACCTATCGAATTAGACTTATTACCGGGTTTGTACTAACATGAGAAACATGACAGGTGCCACATGTGGAGCACGATCAGCACCTCATATCACCCCTATTTTTAGCTCACCTGGCCCAATGGGCCAAAGGAATTGTTTTCATCACTTGGCGTATGTCGTCCGTCGTCGTCGTTTTGCGTCCGTCGTCCGTCGTTCATTAACTTTTACAAAAATCTTCTCCTCTGAAACTACTGGGCCAAATTTAACAAAACTTTGCCACAATCATCATTGGGTATCTAGTTTTAAAACTGTGTCCGAAGACCCGGCCAACCAACCAAGATGGCCGCCATGGCTAAAAATAGAACATAGGGGTGAAATGCAGTTTTTGGCTTATATCTCTGAAACTAAAGCATTTAGAGGAAATCTGACATGTTCATCAGGTTAAAATTTATCTGCTCTGAAATTTTTAGATGAATCAGACAACCCGTTGTTGGGTTGCTGCCCCTTAATTGGGAATTTTAAGGAAATTTTGCAGTATTTGGTTATTATCTTGAATATTATTATAGATAGAGATAAACTGTAAGCAGCAATTATGTTAGGCAAAGTAAGATCTACAATAAGTCAACAGGACCAAAATTGTCAATTGACCCCTTAAGGAGTTATTGCCCTTTATAGTAAATGTTTACCAATTTTTCGTAAATTTTTGTAATCTTTTACAAAAATCGTCTCCTCTGAAACTACGTGGCCAAATTTAACCAAACTTTGCCTCAATCAACATCTAGTTTACAAAATGTGTCCGATGACCCGGCCAACCAATCATGATGGCCGCCATTGCTGAAAATAGAACATAGGGGTAAAATGCAGTTTTTTGCTTATATCTCTGAAACTAAAGCATTTAGAGCAAATCTGACATGTTCATCAGGTTAAGATCGATCTGGCTTGGAATTTTCAGTTTAATCAGACAGTCCGTTGTTCGGTTGCTGCCCCTGAATTGGTTTTTATAATTTTTGCGGTCGTATATTGGTATGACGTTGGCATCGTCGGCGTCGTCCGGCGTCGTCCGAAGACACATTGGTTTTCGCACTCTAACTTTAGTTTAAGTGAATGGATCTCTATGAAATTTTACCATAAGGTTCAATACCACAAAAGGAAGGTTGGGATTGATTTTGGGGGTTATGGTACCAACAGTTAAGGAATTAGGGGCCAAAAAGGGGCCAAAAATAAGCATTTTTGTAACTTCCAGACATAACTTGTGTGTTAGTGTATGGATCTCTCTGACATTGTACCACAAGGTTCCATATCACACCGGGAATGCTGGGATTAATTTTGGGGGTAATTGCCTCAAAATATTAGGAATTAGGGGCCATAAAAGGGGCAAAAAACAAGCAATTT